GGCATCTCGTGTTTCCGTTTTTTGTCTTGTCGATATTTACAATGGGGGATTTTTGCCTGGCGGTATTTCGAATAGCTTATTTTTTAGAATGTCGGGGTTTACAGGATTTGAGTTTTACTGTCGGTGTCGAAACCCTTCTGCTTATTGCAGAGGTACGAAGGGAGTTTCCTATCCCGCGCCCCTTGCCTGTGGTACGGTAGTCTCCGGCGGCCCCCGGAGAGCCGCGCTCCCAATTGCCAGTTGCCGGATTTTTGCCTGTCGGTATTTTCGGCTGTCGATATTTAGGTCTCTATTTAGGCCTGTCGGTATTCAGAACCTCGTGGTTTTGGTCTGTCGGTCTTTAAAAGGCCGGCACTGCGGTATGTCCTTTTTAGTATGTCCAGATTTTGATCTCGCGGCATGCTTCCTTGTCGGTATTTTGGTCTGACGAGGTTGAGGCGAGTGGTTATTTCGAATACAGAGATTTTCGTCGTCAGGATTTCGCTCTGTCGGACTTCGTGTACCGGGATTTCGGCCCAGAGGTCTTTAGAATGTCGGCATTTTCGTCTGTCGGTATCCAAAATGTCGGGATTTTCCCTGTCGTTCTTGATGGCGGGATTGTAATAACAATATTCAGCATTTCGCGATTTTCGCGTCGGCGTGAAAGATGATGGTATCTATAATTTTGATGTTTTTCTGTCGCTATTTCGCTTGTCTACCGTCACCCAGCAGCTCCCTTAAGCAGCTTTTTAGCCCCGGGGTGTTTTTGGGGGGTTTCTGGGTGGGTTGGGTGGGTTCTGCCCCGGGGAGCAAGCAGAAGCAGAAGAAGCACAGGAAGAAGATGAAGGAATAGAAGCAGAAGAAGCAGTAGAAGAAGGGGCGAGCGATTGGTGGGGGTCAGCGAAGCGAGTGTAGGGCTTCTCCTTGGCCGGATGCGGCTTGGGGGAAAGAGGCCTTCTCCCCCTTCTCCTCCTCCTCGCTTTCCCCTTCTCTTGCTCCCCCGGTTGAGGCTCTCTTTTGGGGCTCCTTTTTGGGGGGTTGGTGGTGGTGAGGGGGCCCAGAAAGGCTTCTTCCTCCAAACGGGAAGGCCCCACGAATGGCCATATCCGGCCTTCCCCCCTCCTTACTCTATTCTTCCCTACTCCTACATATCCCCCAACTTCTCATCCTCATCTGGAAAGGCGGCTGGTTATTTTGCCTCTTAATCAATTCGATTATACTATACCTAAAAATATCCTGAATTCCGCCACTGTACTACTTAATAAGCAAAAAGCTGCGATTTTTTACTGAATTCTGAGGCTAAATAAGGAAATTCGGTTTTAGCCCGATTTCTGGCTGTATTTCCGGCTGGCCATCATTCTCTGTATTTAATATTTATACACCTAGAATTACATAGAATTCCGCTACTTTACTACTTACTACGCCAAAAATTGCGATTTTCGATTCGGTTTTTTACTGAATTCGGCCTTTTTTTTCTTTTCGCTTGCTAACTACTGCCAATTAATTACCGCCATATATATTTAATTTTTATATACTTAAAATTATCTCAATTCCGTTATTTTACTATTGCTACTATTATTTGGCGATTTTTTACCGTATTTTCCCGTTAAATACCGCTAATTTACTCGCTTCTACGCTGAAACTATTTTATTCGAATACCGTAAATTGAAAATTTATGGAATTTAAAAATTATACAAAATTAAATTATTAAACTAAATTACTTATTAACAACCAGAAAGCTACGACAATACAACGTTTCTGCTAGCCATGTCTGGGTCACCACGCTGGTCCCCAAGGGCTTCACCGAGAAGTATTCCGAGGAGTGTACGTTGTAGCGCAACGAAGTTGTCGAATTTTATCTAATTTTTTTTGCACTTTCAATAGCGAAAATGTTACTGCCAATTGAATTTATTGATTGCATTTGTTGTTTGGGGTTGGGGAGGAAAATGAAAATGGCTTTTTTAAGGGTCTCATAGCAGAGATTTTTCAGGAAAACTGCCAAAAACCGAGCGCTTACCGTTTACAGTCCCCCTTCGCTGCTGCGAATTGTATGAAGGCTCTATTATCCTGTTACTTACTATCTCTTTCTCTCTCTCTCTCTCTCTCTCTCTCTCTCTCTCTCTCTCTCTTTCTCCCTCTCTCTTGCTCTCTCTCTCCCTCTCTCGAAGACCGTCCTGATGCAATTTGTGTTGCATACAAATTTGCATACTGTAATGCGAAATTTATAAGGTTTTGAGAGATCAAGGTCTTCGGGCCAACTAGCCAAGATACTTTGAGGATTCTCGCGATTTTCATACTGTAGCGTATTTTTGGGCGAGTTTCCGAAATTGCGAGCGCGTGCCAGATTAGTAAGCTAGCAGAGATTTTTCGTGGAATTACGAGATTAGGTCGTTCCCAGAAGTAGAATGAGAAAATCGAGGGCCTGCAGCAGCGACGCTTTAGGAACCCAAGCAGGAGGCTAGCGGAGTTTCTTTAGGATCTATCGAATGCTTCATTACCCACTTGACACCTCATTTTATCTGAATTTTTATCGTCCGCTAGCAGAAATATTTTACAAAATACTCATCGGGTAGGTGGCACAGGGGAAAACGCGAAAATCCCGACAGCCAAAATACCGACGGCGAAAATCCCGACAACCAAAATCCCCACGGCCAGAAACCCCCGATTTTAAAACGGGTAAAATGGCCGAAAATACCAAATTTAGGCTGTCGGTGTTTTGGCTGTCGGGTTTTTAGCTGTCGGGATTATGGCTGGAATTCCTAGCACAGACCCTTTAGGAACCCTCTCTCTCCCGAATAGCTCCATTACCCACCTCTTTACCCCGGTTGCGTTTAATTGGCTATCTGGAGAGAAGAAGACCTCCCCCGTGGCGTGAGAGACCACCCAGGGCGCGAATGGGACCCTCGGGCTCCCCTCCTCTAGCCAGTCTTCTCCCCTTCCTCTTTCTCCCCCCTTCTTAATCTCATTTGTGTTGGGCCACCGCCCCCTATAAGTCGCCCTCCTCCTCCTCCTCCCCACCAGCCAGCCAATTTTCTGGGAATATTCACCGGGCGGGAGGGATCCCCAAGAAAGGAGCCCCACCCGGGAGGGCCATCGCACCGGGGGTCCTCGATCTGTCACGTGTGCGCTGGCTGGCTCTTTTTAAGGCTAATATTCTTAATTTCTAATTAAAGAGGGGATTTAAAAATTTTATTCGGTAAAGCGGCAAAAATTTCCCATTCCGTCAATTTTCAGCTCACAAAATCCACAGTAATTTTTTAATGGCAAAAAAGCTTGAAAAAATGATTTGAGTAGACAGGATAATGCGCAAAACCTATGTTTTGTTGTATTTTTATATTTTATTATTCCAGCCGAAAAAGCTATTTTTTTGATTTAAATTTAGTTTTTGGATTAGTTTAAAAGAGTGCTCAAAAGCAGGTATTTTATAGTCGTATTGTTAAAATATTGCTAATTGGAATTAAGAAAAGTATCGGCAAAATTTTGGTAAAAACAGCCATTTTCGTGTTTTTTCGACAATTTTTTATAAAATTTGTACAGTTTTACGTTTAGCAAAAATAAAAACAGCGCAGAAACATTTCCGCCATTTATATTAGAGAAATTGGATCCTAAAAAAAGTTATCCCTCCCCTCCCGTTTATGCAAAAGATCCGATCGGTATGGTTTTGCAAATAATGTTGATTTTGGAAAACTCTATTCAATGGAGTGTCGAAAAGAAATATAGCGACAGTTTATGCGAGCCCGAAAAACGACATCGAAATGCTTGTTGCGTTAAAACCAGCATTTTCATTTTTTATTCGACCCCACCCGCTATCATATTTGTACCCAAATTCTCCCTTTTGTTCTTGCGCTCTTTCTCGTGCTCCCACATTATCAAATATGAGCCCAAAAGGCTGGCTGAAAAACTGGGGGCCCTAAAAATAGCTCCGGGTCGGCTGGGGGGCCCCCATCGAGACGGCCCGTGAAAATTGCATCCACCCGCCTCATAAATTCACGCAAATCAGCCGGGTGGCCCCAGAAATAGGGTCTGGGGATAAAGATGCAGCCTGCACCCCACCGCCGGGATGACGAATTGAAATTTTGGAAGTGAGCCAACGGGTTTTTTCGGCTGGGGGGAGTGATGAGTTTTTTTGGAGCAAAGTAGCTTTTTCTGGGAGCATCGGGTTTTGCAAATTCGCCGGGTTCTTTCAGGGCTTTCCTTAGAAATCAGCTAAGTTACACAAATTTGGAGGACAGGCTAGCAAATTTCTTTGCGGAACAGCTCCAAACAAACTTGAATTTTTCTTGTGGGATTTAAGTCTCTCTCCTGCTTTCTCGCTCTCGCTCTCTCTCCTTCTCTCTCTCGCTCTCTCTCTCTCTCCTTCTCTCTCTCTCTCTCCCAAAATTCTCTCTCTGTATTGACTCGACTCTATTCAAATTTTTCAAGGCTCGACAAAACACTTGAGACCACCGCTTTCAATTGCCCCGAACCGGTTTCTCGGTCCTCGAAGGGTCACTCCAGTTTTTTCATTTTTTGTAGTTGAACTTTTTCTCAATTTTTGCACTTTTTCGAATTAACAAGTTAATAGTGTTTTTATATTTCATTTAATGCAAATATTGATAACTTTTTAATGCTCATTTTTGCAGGGCTGTCTCCGTTTCACGCCCAATTCGACCCCACCACCACCATCGGTACTCCATCATGAGGATAGTAGAGGAACGGTAGCAGCAACACGGTTTATAGGTAAGCGAGAGAGAGAGAGAGAGAGAGAGAGAGAGAGAGAGAGAGAGAGAAGAAGGGAGAAAGAGAGCCAGTGACTGGGAAGCCAGAAAGAAAGTGAGTGAGATAGATCGAAAGACGTAGAGTGAGAGAGCCAGAATGAGCCAGAGAGAGAGAGAGAGAGAGAGACAGAGAAAGAGAGAGAGAGAGAGAGAAAGACTGAGAAGAGGATAGAGAGTGAATGAGAGAGAGAGCGAGCGAGAGATACAGAGAGTGAGAAAGTCCTCAAATCCCCAAGAATCACCGCTAGCTTGCCATTTCCAGACATGGCGGCTGAGGGCCACAATGTGGACGCGAACCTCCTCGAGCTCGGCCGCGACCACGGCCATTATTTCCAGAGGTACGAGTATGTTTTTTAACCTTACTAACCCCCTTGATACCTTTTTAATTGTTTCGGAGATCTGTTAGGTTATGAACATTTTTTTATTCCAGGAAAACCTTCACGAAACCGACTTACTGTCACAACTGCTGCGAGAAGATATGGGGCATGCTGACGCAGGGATACGTTTGTGAAGGTTAGCACGATGAATGGTCTCGGCTAGTTGCCTGATCCTGAAGTTTCTTTGCTAGCCACCATTTTTTTGGTAGAATCGATTCCTAAAACTGCTGCTCGCTCCTCGAAAAATTGACCGGAAAACTTCGAAAACCAAAATATCTCGGCCAAAATTCCGCAAGGAATCTCCGCTAGTTTGCCCCGAAACTCGGAAACCTATAAAATTGCCTTATTACAGTATGCAACTTTGTGTGCCACGAGAAATGCATGAAGACGGTCGTTTCCTATTGCAGCGGTGTGGCCCTGCAGCTTATCAAGGTGAGAGAGAGAGAGAGAGAGAGAGAGAGAGAGAGAGAAAGAGAGAGAGAATGGGAGAGCCATAAATTGGCTTCGTTACCGTAACCCTCCTCTGCCTTTTAGAATCCGGTGGCCCATACGTGGAGTGAGCCCGGGCACATCAAGCGGCGATTCTGTAATGTTTGCCGAAAGAGGACCGAAGATGCGATGAGTGTCGAGTGCGAGGGTACGGAGATTTTAAAGGGATTGGGAAGGCAGAGCAAGCTATAGTTTTCCGCCACTCATTAATGATGGTTATCAGTGAAATTCGTCAAAATTCGCTAGTTAAGACACCCTCAGTAGCTTTCTAAAAGCAGTTGGAAGTAAAAATAGCGCAAAAGTTGAAAAATTAGGGGATATACGGTCTCCGTTTAAAGGTAATTGGATGGCAAAACCTATCGATTCCATTAAACCAGCATTAATGGGTGTAATTCAAAATTATATGCGTTTGGCCACCATTTTTAAGGGTTAGCAAGCGTAAAACCAACGATTTTCAAGCGTTTTTCAGTCATTAATGATCCCCAAAAATATAACGGCCTATTCCTCGTTGATATTAAGTTATCATCCTAAAGGTATATTTTAGTGTGCGAGTACTATGTGCACGTGGATTGCCAAGATTTGGCCGTGTCCGACTGCAAAGAAGCCGCGACGTTTGTGCCGAGTCTAGAGAAGGTTTGTTTTCGCAAAGGGTTTCTGCTAGCTGGCCCGGTAAAAGAACATTCCTAAAATGCCTATGCTGGTTCTCTGCTATGCTGCCTATGGAAAGGAACATTTGAAGTCCAGATACTTCTAATTCAAATGATCTCTGCCAGTTTGCCTGGCGACTGTATCTGATTCCAAAATCCGCAAAGTGTGTTTGCTAGCCTACCGTAACTGGCGATTTCGATTAAACGTTCTCTGCTAGTTTGCCCTTCTCTGTCGTGCTCCTCCACAAAAACCCCCTGTTACCATTTTCGCGCCCTTGCCCTTTCGATGTCCCATTTTCTTAAAAAAACTCGCTGATAGGTGTTGCTCGGTGGTACTCCCATCTTCGGGTGCTTCTTCTCCTTCGATAGGGGATTTAGAGGGCTTACGGCTGCTAATTGGGCGCTTTGCTCCGGTGGGCCCGATGGCTTCACGGGTTCTAATGAAGTGACGATCCTAAAAAAGAACGTGAAAAAGGGTCTGGTGTGGAATAGAGGTAGAGCAAGACGGAGAGAGAGCGAGCGAGAGACAGGGAGAACGAGAGAGAGAGAGAGAGAGAGAGAGAGAGAGAGAGAGAGAGAAAGAAGTCGGAAAGAGTCTGTGGTAGCTTACGGATCTATCTGATTTAGTTGCTCAGGGGTCAGCTAGCAGTGATCCTTGTGGAAAAATAGCCTTCGCATACCCGAGAGAGCTGGGGATAGATCGAGAGAATGAGAGAGAGAGCGCGAGCGAGGGATAGGGAGAGAGAGAAATTGAGAAAGAAGATGAGATGCACCATAAATTCCCAAAGCATCTACGCTAGCTTGCCTTCATAGTCCAGGTTTTATCCTATTCCAGGGTCAATTACCAATTAGCCGTAATTCTTATGAAATCAGAATGGCCGGAATCTCAAAGAATCTATGCTAGCTTGCCTTTTCAATCTATAATTCCCGCATTTGAGCCCATTATCCAGCTAGCAGTGATTCTTTAGCAAAAGCTCTTATAGCTGCCTATCCTCTTTCCGGTCTTTGCATGGGTCTAAAAATAGAATTGCGCCCTCTGCCCGGCTGGCCCCCGTCGGGAGGAGGAGCACACAAATTGAGGATTGTTCTGGGGAAAGAGGGTCCCTTCTCTTCTGCTTTTCCCTCAATCCATCCCAGATGACGTCAATTTGACGGCCCGGGGCGAGACAGAGAGAGAGAGAGAAGGAGAGAGAGAGAGAGAGAGAGAGAGAGGGGGAGAGTGAGAGAGGCAGGGAGAGAGACCCTGATTGGAGCCTCCGGGGCTGACTGGCAAACCGAATATCCTTGCTGTCCCTCGCCGCGCTTTTCTTTAGGCTAGACGTCAAAAAAGAACATTATTGGAGAGTAGATCATTGGATCGAGGTGGTGGCGGTTATGGGAAGAATGGTTTGGAAAAAAAAATAAGGTCTTGAGAATGCCGCGAAAAAGGGCAACAGAGCAGAGATTTCTAGAGAAATCTGGAGAAACATGTCGCAAGTGAAGCGAGAGAGAAAGGGAAAGAGAGAGAGAAAGAGATCGAAGATATTTATCTGTATTTTTCAGCAATCCCACTCACAGTACCATCACATGCGCGAGGGTAATTTACCGCGGGACAGTAGATGCGTCGTTTGTAAAAAGGTAAGAAGCGCAAGAGGGCATTAAAATGTTAAACTGAGTTTTAAAAATTGCCAAGAAGCAACTACCGATTACGTAATTTTTTTTTAGGTGTGCTACTCCAGCGAATGTCTAGCCGGAATGAGGTGCGAGTGGTGCGGGCAGACGGTACGATTTCTGATGGTGGAAAAATATTTACAAACCTAATTAAGTTGAACATCAAAGTTAAATTGTAATATCAAAAAAATTCTATAAAAGCTAAATTCTAATATAAAATCCCTATAGCCTATTCCAGATTTAAACGGGTTTTCCGACCAAGGACGATTGGGGGTAATGCTAGTTTTCGACATTTGCGATCGTAAAATGTCTTTAACGCGACTGGATAGAGCGTCAAAAAAATATACTAACAGTAGTATGCTCATCCCAAAATAATATAAAATATAATAATTTTTTGGCAAAAAAGCAAAACCCAAATTTTTTTTGTTCTTTTATTTTCTCGCAATAGGGTTATTCTCACGCTTAAATGCCCGATCAATTCGGGTTTCGATGTCCCTTTAGAACGACTTTCGACGTATGATCGGATAGGTATCGAGACCTAGTCTACCAAAGGGGTCGAAACTGACGCTTACAGGCCCCTTACACCCCATTTGCAGGCTCACGCGCTGTGCTACCGACAAATGGACGGGAACTGTCAGTTCGGTCTATTGCAAAAGATCATGCTACCCCCGAACTGCTTGACAATCCCGAGAACCGAACTGCCGATGGAGCAACTGTTGAACATCACGGCATCGAGCGAGCAGTCGACGTCTCGTAAGGGTCACTGGTCTTCCCTCTTCTTTTCTTCTAACCATCCGAACAACAACTGAATTGCGATATTTTTCGTAGATAGTCAAGATAGATAGGTGGACACGGGTAGTTAGAGAAAACGCACAGAAAATTATTAAGATGCCGGAGAACGAGTAAAATTGATAGAATACTGTAGAAATCCAAAAATTGCGGGCAAGCTAGCAAAGATTTTTTTAGGAAACCGGATAACTTTCAAGCAGAAAATTTTTTATGTATTAGGGCAGGCCAGCAGGGGTTCTTTGGGAATTAGCTTAGGCAAGCTAACAGAGGTTTTTTGGAATTCATTTGTCATTAATGCGCACGTAACAACGCCCGATTCGAATTATCTAGGGACAGCTGGCAGTAATTCTTCGGGAACTGGCTCAAATTGGAAAATTGTGTAGCAGGCTAGCAGAGACATTTTGGAATCTTGCGTGTCACTGAAATTAACGTGTGCTCGTAAGAAAAGTCAGGGCAAGCTAGCAGGGATTCGTTGTGGAATGGCTCGGCTTTGAGATTTTGTTGGGAGGCTAGCAGAGATTTTTCAGGAATTCGGCCACCATCAAGCTAACACTTGTTTTCCGCGGAGCAAACTAGCAGTGATTCTTTGAGGATTCTCCTGGCCTCATTTGAATTGTCAAGCGGCGCTTAATTTTTGTAAAGGCAGATCAGCAGCGCTTCCTAAGGAAATATCAGAGTGAGCCGTTCATGCGGTATTATCAACCCTTCAAATGCGGTAACTGCGGGCAAACTCGATAACTGCGGGCAAACTAGCAGGGATGCTTAGGGATTCTTAGTTAGCGAAAATTGAAGGGCATTGAGGTTAGCACCGGGTGCTAGAGGGCAAGATAGCATGGATTCTTTAGGAAATTGATGCATTAGGGGCTGTAGCCATAGAAATAAACTCTAATAAACAGCGAATTAGCAGATTAAGCTGGCCTAATTTAATATAATCAAAATTCATAAATTTCCACAAATCCCCAGTCACTTCCCGCATCAAACTCTGTCCCCCGCACGAATTCCCCCCGCCGAGTCGTCGCGAATTGTCGTGTCTACATATCTTTTTTTGTGACCACACCAGATTTCCCTATAGTGATAACATTAGACAGCAGATCGAATGGCAATTTAACCCCCGAATTTCAGTGTCGAGCCCCTGCAAGATCACGGCGGATGATGTGTCTTCGGGAGGGGATGAGGGCAAGGAGAAGGAGGACTACGAGGTATGGCGAATTTTGTAAAAAACTATGTATTCTTTATTTTTCAGGTGCTCCGAATCTTCGACGGGAACAATTCCCTCCGGACCCAAGTCTTCCGCACGGCATCCGTCCCAAAAACCGCCTCGGCCCAGCAAATCCGTGATGCCGCATTGCGACGGTTCCACATACAGGACACCCCCGAGAATTTCTACGTGACGCAAGTCATCAATGACCGTGGGTTTTTTGGACTTTTTCTTAGGTTTATAATGGTATGACGTGGTGCCATTATCTACCTACGTACCCAGGGATCTATCGCTATTGATGAATTACAGTAACCGGTGAGGAAGAGACCCTCGAAGACCCAGTACCACTTCGAAATGTGAAACGGCCAGAGGGGAGGAGAGCCCAAGTTTTTCTACGGTATCGGGATGACCCGGATAAGGCGGTGGTGAAGATCTATGGTGGATGGTTACGGTAGGAAGGTTACCAAATTGCCATCAATCCTTTTTCAGGGTCCCGGTGACGTTCTGTACGCTGAACGTGACGAAAGAGACGGTCGTCCAGGACATCGTTTCTGAATCGCTGGAACATTTCGGGCTGGACCGGAAGACGTGGAATCGGTGGGTTGGAGAGAAAGGGAGCTCGAGAGAGAGAGCGAGAGAGAAAGTCAGAGAGATAGAGAGAGATAGCGAAAAGAAAGCGCGCGAGAGACAGCGAGGAGCGAGAAAGAGAGAGAAACAGGGAGAGCGATGCAGTGAGAGTGACATAGCGACCGAGAAAAATACAGAGCGAAAGAGAGAGAGAGAGAGAGAGAGAGAGAGAGAGAGGGAGGGAGAGGGAGGGAGAGCGAGAGCGAGAGAGACGATGCCCTACGAACCCATTTCCAGATATAACCTCATCGAAGTCTCGCTAGAACGTGGTGTGGCTGAACGAACCTGCAATCACCACGAAAATATGCTGCAGCTTGTCCGGAACTTAAGAAAGGTAAAAACTTGACTTTAGAATTCGAAGATTTCTAATTTTTTGCTTGCAAAAACTACCCAAACCTTTCAGGACTCCCTCCGACGATACCACGTCATCCGATTCTACGTCCAAGAGAAGGAGGACCCGCACGATCATGCTGTGTTTGTGGGGAATCTCCCAGTTTCGCTAGCACAACGGCAATACGAGCGGATACTCTTGAAGTTGTTGGGGGCGAAGGGTAAGCTCGTGTTAGATCGCTCTCTCTCTCTCTGTCTCTCTCTCTCCCTCTCTCTTTTTAGCTTTATCTCTTTTTCTCTCATTCTCTCTCTCTCTCTCGTTCTCGCTCATTACCTCGTCCCGAAAAACCCCAATTTTTTCAGAAAAGCCCTTCACCGCCATCGGGCCGATCTACTTCGAATACGGGAGCCTTGTCATCACCTTTAACACGCCAAAAGCCGCCACGGCAGCCGTTCAAAAGCTTCAGGGAGCCGTCTATGAAGACAAGAAGTTGATCGTGTTGTGTTTGCCGAATGTACAGGTCAGAATTTGCATCTAACGTGTTTTAAAGCGACGGTGACAGCTCGAATACAGCGGTAGCGGTGACCCTGCACGCTTTGAAAGCCGATATTGAACTGCAAAACCGTCACAAAATCTTGAAAAACCATGAAAAACGTAGTATTGAGTCGATAAGTGCTGATTTGATCTATATATGTCATTTTTATCGCGCCATTATCTCTATTTTTCAGCCAAAAATGCTGCCCCCAGACTCTGAACCCCTCCTCGTCCTGGTGAACGTGAAAAGCGGTGGCTGCCAAGGAACGGAGCTGATCAAGAGCTTCCGGAAGTTGCTCAACCCGTTCCAAGTATTTGATGTGTTGAAGGGAGGGCCGCTTGTTGGGTGAGTCAAAGTTTAAAATTAAAGTTGTCCTGGGTAAAATCACGAATAACCCAAATTTTCTAGACTCTACGTGTTCCGCAACATTCCAAAGTACAAGATCCTGGCGTGCGGCGGGGACGGGACGATCGGATGGGTGTTGCAGTGTTTGGATATTGCCAAACAGGTATGATTGGAGTTCTTAAAGGTATCGGCAGGTCGAATCGAACGAAATTACGCTATTTTTGCTAACCTATACAGCATTTGTAGCTTCATAGCTGTGAAATGAGAGTTTCTGTCGATTCTAGCATTAAAAATAGGATATAAATGACACTAATTTTTTATGATAAATTTAAGGTATAAATTTCGTTGCAGGACGCCGCCTGTTTCTCCCCACCCTGTGGTGTAGTTCCGCTTGGTACTGGCAACGATCTGGCCCGAGTGCTCCGATGGGGTGGTGGTTATACCGGAGAGGAGAATCCGCTTGACATCCTAAAAGACGTCATCGAGGCCGATGAGGTCCGGCTCGATCGATGGGCTGTCGTTTTCCACGAAGAAGAACGGTAAGTCGGGTCGATACCTGGGTTCCTATCACAGCAGCTGATCTGGGCTACAAACTACAAACCCCAAATTTTCTAGATCACAACCCCCGACAGCCCCGGCAGCCGAGGGAGGAGCAGAGGGAGAGGGAATGATGAATAATCCAGAGGATCAGACGAGCATGATCATCATGAACAACTATTTTGGGATTGGGATTGATGCGGATGTGTGTTTGAAGTTTCACAACAAGGTGAGAGAGTAAAAGATCGATTAAAGGGCTAACACGCGCAAAAATCTACGACCTTCTGCCCGCTAGATCACGACAACTACCAAATGACAAGCTTAATAGTAAGACCACTTAAACAGCTCTTGAACCGTAATTTTCGATGCAAAATTCAAATGGCGGATGGGCTTTTTGGAAGCTTTTGTCGAGAGCTAATCAAAGAAAAAGTCGATGCTGGGGTTGCATAGCCCTTTAAAAGTCCCTTCAAGCCAATGTCCATACAGTTCGTAGGCGGACTTTAAATGGCGCGTAGCTGTCGAGATCTAATCAAGGAAAACGTCGATGCTGGCCTCGTATAGCCCTTAAAGGACCATGCAATTGAAAATCGATATACGTCGCAAGGCCTACTTTGGGGTGACCCGCTCTTGTCTAGTCAACAATAAGAGTAGATGCACTTACTGGCCTCTTATCGTATCCCTACGCATCATTTGAAGCCAGAAGGTAACTGTCGAGACCTAGTCAACATGCTGGGTCGATTTTCACGTTTTCGAGTCACTTTAAAGGAACTCGGTACCCAAAATATATGAAGTCTTCAACTTAGGTCACCGCAGTACCCTCAATAAAATATTTTTCTCTATCAATGTGTTTTCAGCGCGACGCCAACCCCGAGAAGTTCCAATCCCGCCTGTTCAACAAGACGCAATACGTGAAGATTGGTCTCCAGAAGGCCCTCTTCGAAAGGACGTGCAAAGATTTATGGAAGCGGATTGAGGTGGAGGTGGATGGGAAGGTGATCGAACTGCCGAACATCGAGGGGATCATCGTGTTGAATCTGTTATCATGGGGAAGTGGAGCCAATCCATGGGGGACAGCAAAGGAGGACGAGAACTTCTCGAAGCCCACGCATTATGATGGGTTGCTGGAGGTTGGCTATGGAATTTTAATGTTTTTGGTAATTTTACGGTCGTTACTGTAACGTAGAGTACGTGTAGCCCGGCGTATAGTAGCTACGTACTTTTTGGGCATTAATAGACGGATATTTTCAGGTCGTTGGTGTCTCTGATGTCTCCCGCCTTGGCCTCATCCAGTCGAAATTGGCGGCGGGGATTCGAATCGCGCAGGAGGCAGTGTAAGTTGGAGTGTAGCGTCGCGTCGCTTAACACCACTTAATTGAATGCAATAATCGCTTTTAAAATCGAAAAAGAATGAAAAATTTCTTTGGTTGCAAAACATCGAAATTTCACTTTTAGAGGTTTCTAGGGCCTTTAAATAAAAATTTTTCAAAAATTAAAGCGGATTGTTTTAAATACAATTTTTGGTCATTTTTTAATTTTAAACTGGGCGATTGAAAAAGGTGTGGTTATGGGTTATATTGGCTCTGGATTCTCGCCTATTTTGACCGCGATCGCGACACGCCGTGCCACAGTTAGCGACACGCAACGCGGTAATCGCTCGCGATACCTGACGTGACACGCAAGGCGACACGCAACGCGACACGTAACGCGACCATAATACTCATAATTCATTACGCTATAGAACAGCAAACATACGCGCGCTGCGTGTCGCGGTCACCGATTGGCCACTATTTAGGGCACGTAATCGATTATGCCATGGAATCAGCACGGGCGCTTTACCTGTCGCGACCGCGGAAAATCCATAGCTAGCCTATATTCTGACTTCAATCCTCCTTTAAACCCAAATTTTTTCAGATCCGCATCACGACCCACGAGGAATGGCCAGTACAAGTGGATGGAGAGCTCATATCCAGCCCCCAGGAACCATCACCATCCTCAAATCGGCACTTCGGGTGAGTACGGTAGTCTGCACACAAAAATCGGATTTATTGATTCGGGCCCACCACGGCTTTTCATTTTTCACACCGCTTTTTCCATGGCTTGGCTAATGACGGGAATGGGTTGGAACGGAATTTACGGAATTATTTTATTTTTAGTGTAAATTATGCATATGCTTACTTTAGTAAATTGAAAAATACACCTAAACTTGTAATTGATTTTATTTAAATAATTTAAATTCATCAAAATTAAAAACTACATTATTTTCGGTTCCAATCCATTTGAAAAAATTAACCGGTGTGCCCTTTCCGCTCCCGTTTTTCCGCAACGATACTTTGAACATTTACGCGGTGTGCTCTGGCTGGCTGTGCTATCGCTTTTTGGCTGCTGCTGCAAATATGCATATTTACATATATATTTTAAAGGCTTTCGTGCCGGGACTCTCTTTCCTGTCTCTCACTTCAGTATATCTTTTGGTTTGACCCTATCCCTCAGCTTACGGTCATCTTAATTGATTTAAAATCAGAATTGAATTAAAATAGATGGCATTTTTTGGCATTTTGGTAATTACAGAACTTCCCTCTATATTAAAACTCGGTTTAAAATTGTAAAATAATTTCTAAAAATCGTTTTGGGTGGTTTTTGAGCATGTTAACATACGGTAGTCATCTATCATATAGGATTTAGTAGAGATCTTTCCCTGTCCGTCCCTAGATATATTTTCAGTTACTACCCATATTCTTATTAGGCTTTCGCTTTAGCACACCGCACACCGCGCTTTTCCTCAGCCAAAATTATTCATCTGCGTTTTCGTAGTACGGTAGCCACACTTTTTGGTTGGAATGCGTAGCTGTCAAAATGATGAAAACGTCTTTGATGAGCGATATTTTTAGAATTTAGATTTTTAGAATTGTTTATTAGCAACAATAGAAAATGCGTTTGGCGTACTCCACAAAAATTAAAGAGTGTGTTAGATTTTACTTAACTGGATATCAGTAATAGATGATACAAGTTTAATTTGATCGAAGCCCCCCTATTTTTACCTATATTACAAGGTATAATATAATAGTAATAGCGGATATAATCAGTTTCAAGTCCAGGAAAGTCCCAGCTACACTTGCTACCTAAGGTGCTGTAAAGGATTACGAAAATACTCGTCAGACCAAGACGCGCATTTTGGTATACTGAACAGCCCTGTAGATGAACAGGGAGCCGTGATACAAAAGTTGGGGCGGGCTGGGAGGTCGCCCGGGGTCTTTTTGACATCTTAATGCATTTCAAAAACCCGTATTTATCTATACCTATCCTATCACTCATCTATCCCTTTCAAACCCCTTAGAAATTAATTAATTAATTCTAAATACTTTAAATTTCCATTGAAAAATGAGAGAGAGCCCCGGATACATCACGACCCGTAACGCTGCTCCCGTTTCAGGCGCAGATGCTGAAGAAGGCGAAGAAGAAGCGGAATCAGGCAATCCCCGGGGTGGCCGGGGTCGGAGGAGTCGGCACGGGCAGGACCGACGATCATGGAGGAGCACGAGCCGGGGGTGGAGGAGGAATTCACAACTCCTCCACACCCAGGGAAGATCGAGAGCGAACGGAGCACGACTCCGATGAGGAGGCCGATGCTTTTCTGTGAAGGAGCTTGACCATTTCATGATAAAAATCCTCCCTAAATGCTTAATTTTGCGTTTTAAAGGGACTGCAAAGTCAAATTTTGCCTATGGATTTTCTGTTCCTAATGGATTTTGAGCAAATTTTGAAAGGTTTTGAAAGCCAGAAATTAGATAAAAAAATTTAATTTTGGGAATTCTTTAATTTTGATTTCGTAAAGTTGGTCTAATTTAAATTTGCAAAAATTTATTAACTAAAGTGACCAGAAAACATCCATAGCTTACATTTTTGGCTTCTCGGAACCTTTAATCCCAAATTACATCAAGTATTGAGGCTTGAGACTTGAGGCAATTTTTAGAAAAATAAGACGGAGAAAATTCGAGCAATAGGGAATTTTTAAACTACAATTCGACAATGCTTAATGATTTAAAAAAATAAATAGGAAATCATCAGGCATAATTTTTTAAAATTTAAAAGTGTGGTAAATCCTGAAAATTCCTTTAAAAACCTTTTAATTTTTAGAACCGTATCTACAATAATTTTTGTAAAAAAATCCTTTTTGTCTCGTTTTTTAAAAATTGCCCCAAATACCGTACCCCGTCCCGTCATGACCCGTTCCCAGTATCACCCCTACCGTACTCCCAAAATAGGCCAGTTCCGCCCCCACAATTCGTGACAGTACCCCCACCATGACAGGGTGTGTCCTGTGTCAACTCGCGTACTTACTGTGTAAGTGGTCAGAAAAACACACACAAAAACGAGGCATTTATCCACCCCTTAAAATTCCGCGTCATTCCATATTGACATTTTCGGTGATGAATTATTTTTCCTGAATTCTGGTCTAATATTAACGATTTATAATACTGTATTTTTATTTTTTTTTGTATATGCTAATTCCCTATCAATTTCCGAGCTTAGGTCACGGTATGTTTTTTAAAAATCCGGATTTTTGAAAAATTACCGTACGCGTGCACAAAAATATTGTATTTTTCTCTTTTAGATTTCGTGAATTTCCCAAAAACCGAAACCCCCCGAATTCCCTAGCGTAATAGGATATACCCGAATTTTATTTTTCGATTGAAAATCTGCATTTGAATTTGTTGTATCGATTTTCTGGTCTTTTTTGATGATATTGCTGATGACATGCACCTTGCCAAATAATATCTACAAAAAGTGTTGAGAGTTCAATTTTTTGGGTTTTTGTGGGTTACGGTAGAAGTATAACAGTATAATAATTTTAAATTAAAATGCCGAAATTTATACAAATTAGGACATTTTCGATGTTATGCAAATTTTGGTATTTTCGGAATCTTTAAAAAACTCTTTTCAATGTATTAATTATATTTAATAAAAAACCTCATTTTATGCAAAGCCTCAAAATTACAGAGTTTAACCTTTAAAAAATCAAAAATGCTATTTTTCTAACAAGCAGAATTTTTATTTTCATTGGCACAATCAAAATTTATTTTAAAGATCAATAAATCCTACCGTAATCCTCTCAAAAATCCCCTTATTTCTTTTATATATCAGGTTGGATAATAAGTTCTGTCACAATTTTTTGAAATCGCTCGTTAAAATCGCAGATGTTTCCAATTCTGGAGTATGAGGTATGGATTGATAGGTCTCACAACACTCTATTCTGGGAGGACCCTCAATTGACGGAAAAATTGAGCGACGTCGAGATACAGGCCCGAGAAGTTTTCCGCAAAAACGTACCAAACCTATTTTGCAAGCTATCTCTGCATAGAGCAATTTGCATGCGATACCTTTGACACCAATCGATAGCTTACGAGGAGTAGATATCGATAGATGTTGAGATCATCAAAATCGGACATCGGATGGCTGAGATACGACCCCTTGAAATTTGGCCCATTTCTTAGAACTTTTCCCAAAATCCCATACATTTGATGGCCCGCAGCCAAAACTGACCGCTTGATTTTCAAAAGAACCGAGCGCATTTTGACCAAATGTATGGGATTTTGGGAAAAGTTCTAAGAAATGGGCCAAATTTCAAGGGGTCGTATCTCAGCCATCCGATGTCCGATTTTGATGATCTCAGCATCTATCGATATCTACTCCTCGTAAGCTATCGATTGGTGTCAAAGGTATCGCATGCAAATTGCTCTATGCAGAGATAGCTTGCAAAATAGGTTTGGTACGTTTTTGCGGAAAACTTCTCGAAGCTCTATCTCGGCGACTCTCAATTTTTGGGTGCGAGGAGGGTCTACCCAAGGTAGAGCTTGAGGAGACCTATCAAACCCTATATCACACTATTAATATGCGCACGTCTGCAGCTTTAACAAGCGATTCCAAAAAATTGTGACAGAACTTATTATCCAACCTGATATACATTACTGACTAGCGCCCGGTGTTCTGTGATTTTCCGTCAATTTAATTCACCCGATTTTGCATCAGAAAATATTTATTTATGGTCTCAAAAATTCATACACGTACTAATTAAAATTAGCATGGTTTTTTAAATCCGGAATATCGAAAATTTTTTTGAAAATATAATTTACAAAAAACGATATCCTGGCCTTAAAAGAATTATGCAAATTGCCATCCCGGTCCGTCCCAAAAAATCAGAATCCCTACGCCCTTTCATAACGAATTTTTCAATGATGATTGATTTACATATATCAATCAGATTTTTGTGTGCCACTGTGTGTATATTAATTATATTATTACTACGATAATTATTAATATTATTATTTGCGCAT